CCCAGACCCACCTTCCCCCACCAGCCTAGCAGGTCCCCTCGGCACATGTCCCCTGGTCTTCCATCACCTTGGGCCGGTATGTGCCTCCCACTCCTTCTCCCCGCTACACGCTCAGCATCTCCACTGTTGGCCCAGGATAACGTGCCAGGCTCCACAACTGTGCCCACCCTCACCGCCACTTGGACCCTGGGACATGCTCCTCTCATGTCCACGCACTCAGGAAGCATGGCAGACACCAGGCATAGGCCCTGGGGAGCCCAAAGGAGATGCAGCCACCCCAAAATTGGGCACCTGCAAGGGCAGTAAACTCAAGCAGAGGGACCTGGACAGGCCCTTCAAGTCACTATGTGGTTGTGTCCCACGAAAGCAGCCCAGGTGGCTGGGTGGTCTTCTCCAGGCATGGACCCCCCATTGGCCCCTTGTTACATGCAGACCCGGAGGTCCAGGCCTGGCCACAAGGTCTGCCGCTGCCTGAGCGCCAAGCGTGAGGAGGCCAGCACGGTCAGCTGTTCCGGTTTAATATGTTCTAACAAGGGCAGTGCTGGGTGGGTGACTAACATGGGGCCAGCCCTTCCATGGGGCAGGCTCCGACTGCTGGGCATTGCCTGCAGCCCTGTCTGCCCACTTCCCACTTCAAACTGGAATATTTCACACTTGGTTGGGCGGCGTGGTTTGGGTGGGGGGTTACTGGAGCTCGCAAAGATTGCTGACTCCCTAATCCTGGCCACTTAGCACCTCATTTCAAAAAGAAACACACAAGCTACACACACTCCAAGCCAATTACACACCACACAGGCCTGGCCACGCAACATGCAGCTTTGCCAACATCCAAGAAAATGAAAAATTTCTAAGGACAAAAGAACTTCATGCAACTAAGTCCAGCAACTTGAAAAAACCCTGAGCGAGGAAGAGCTGGGGGGCTTTAGATAGTCACGTAGGACATGCTCCTCTTTCAAGTAGGGAGCGCGGGGGACAGCCCAGTGTCAGGAGGCCCTGGGGGGGGGGGTCCACTGGTTCAGGGCATCTGGGTTGGGCAGAAATGGGAGGTGCTCTGGGGTCCCTGCCGGGGGTGGGGGGCACCCTGGAACTTGTCTTCCCCCACAAGGGCGAGCAGGTGGGAAGGGGCTGTAGACACAAGGCCTGTGCAGTCTCCCCATCTGCTCAGCACAGGGTCTGGCCCCCTTCTGTGACTTAAATTGCTTCTCTTTTTAACCAGTTTTCTTCAATTTGAGGTATACACAGAGTGAAACTCCCATCAGAGTGCCCCACAGTTCCTGTGGTCGGTCACAAGGATCTGAAATGGCCCAGACCAGACCTCTGAGCATGTCAGAGCTGCCAACCAGATGCGCCTAAAGCCTCAGACATGAGGGTAGCTTGGGGCCCCACACAGGGCCGGCACCAGACCCAGAATGTCCTATAGGTGGTCCTGTGGGGAGGGACGGCCCCAACCTCCATGTCACACTGCCCCCGGCACGGATTCTGACCGTGGGCCTGTGTGAAAGGAGCACAGCATTAAACGACCTCCCTGTGCCTCCCGAATCTTTTTAGGGGTCTCCTGTCTGAAAATACCATGTGGTAGCTGGTGGAAGTGAGGAACTGCTATGCGTACATCTGTGGGCACTTCCTGCACTAGTTGCTTCCTCCTCACACTTAGTGTCTTCACACCCCTCTCTACCTGCTGGCGCATGATGTCCTCACCCAAGGGCTGGGCAGTGCAAGGGGCCAGTGCACTGGTTTCCCCAAACCCGCAGGTGGGCATTTCCAGAACTTTCTGGGGAGGAGCAGCAGTGTTGTGGGCACAGCCTGCACTGGGCCTCAGCAGACCTGGAGTCTGAGCAGGAGGCATGAGCCCCTCAGCCAGGGGGAGGCAGAGACACTGGTGGGGGGACCACACAGTCCCCAGTAACTCCAGTGGGGATAAGAGCTCGACTACAATAAAGCAAAAATGCAATTTTGAGAAAGAATAGGCAGAATGCCACCACTTACGTAACATTTAGAGGTAAAGGGTACTGTTCAGAAATTACACACTGTGAAGTAGAGAAGTGACCAGTGCCAGGCTCAGGGCAGCGGGACCCTGGCTGCTGGGCAGGAGATGGAGCCTGGGGAGAGCATGTCGACCGGGTGAGTCGGGTTTTATTTTAAACACTTCATGACTTTTGGTGTCCGAAGTATTTCAGTGAAAATTGTTAAATGATATAAATGCTGACCATTCTGAATTTAAAATAAAAGGGACCAGAGCTGGAGCACGCCCAAATGGAGGGCTTTTGGGGAGAGAGTTTGAAGGAATTCAGTTCTTGACAAGCCTCAGGGTATAATTAAGCTCATTACTGTGAGGTTTTCCACTCACAGCTCAAAGACTTTAATCCCATACAGAAACTGACATGAGATCACTTCTTTTGTGTTGTGGGTGGTAAAGCCTCATGCTGCAAAATAAGGGGGGAAAGGTCCCAACTTAAGACGCGCATCACCTGCAGGCAAGATGAGGAAGAGGCCTCGTGTGGCGTGAAACTGCTGCCTGGTGCCTCCCGGATACGCCGGCAGCAGCCAGGCCGCAGGCTGGAGAGTGCTGTGGTCACCAGATTTTAAATTTTTGAAGAAAGTGACTTCACAGTGAAGTGTGTGGATCTTAAGTGGTATTGTTGCTTCCATAAGTCCTTGGTAGAATCTATCAGTAAACTTATCTGGCTTGGCTTTTCCTTATGGAAAGTTTCAAATTACAAATCTAATTTTTAATTATTATTCATATTTTAAATATGTTGGATCGGGAGTGATGCCCCCCCTTCATTCCAAACATACTGGTAATCTATACTTTCTTTTTTAAAAATCAACCTTGCTAGAGATTTGTCAACTTTATTGACTATTTCAAATCAGTTCTTGGTTTTGCTGATTTTTTGGACTGGACTCTCGTTCTGGTGCACAGGACAACCCTCAAGCGAGCACCCGGCCAGGGCTGTCCATCTCCAAGCTCGCCGCCTTCCACTGTTCGTTTCTTTTCTCCTGTTGACTTTGAGTTTACTTTGCTGTTACTTTAGTAACTTTTAAAGGTGGAGACTTAGATAATTGCTTAGTTTCTTGTTCTGTAAATATAAGCTTTAAAAGCCGTAACATTTTGCTGTAAACTCTGCTTTACCTAAATTCTACAAATTTTGACATATTGTTTTAATTTTCATCAAATTGAAAGTTTTCTAATTTCCTTTGTGACCCCCCCCCCCCC